AATTATGTTAGCACATTATATTTATAAGAACTTCTTTGCTGCCTAGATTAGTTGAATTAGTCGATTTTCCTCTTTTGTCATATGTTTTTTAATAAATTTATAATCAACTAGCTGTCGGCCGAGACTCCGTCCGCGCGGAATTAAAAAAAACATAATTAGTAGCCTATGTGTCCTAAACCATGTTGTACATAAGTGCCAAATTTTATAAAAATTCATTCACCAGTTCCGGAGATACCTTCAAACATCCATCCATCCAAACATTTGCATTTATAATAACAGTAAGATAAGAAATGAGATAAAATGTATGCAACTCAAGTACCTGTTAGGATCATCCTCAGAGTTTAAGCTTTCTTGAGATTCAGCGGAAGGTTCTTCAACTAATGGAATTGTTTCCTGCTTCCTTGTACTTAATTTTCTATTAACATATTGCTTCGAGACATGTTGGAGAATAGGCTCAGGGGTTTGTATAACTGGAGACAGTGGTGCAGCCGCAATTGGAGTACCAATATTAGATCCTGTAGACTCCACCTGACTTTTCCGTTTAGAAGCTCTTGTGGCTGGTGCCTCAATAGGTGGTAAAGTAATCACACGTCCGTCCCGTCTCACAATTTCTATAGGATCCTTTTTAGGCAGCATTGTCTTCATTGTTTTAGACATTTGTAGAGATGAAGCCATTGAACCTGGAGAATGCTGAGGAATCGTTGACGGTACTAAAGGTTGCATTTTAGATAGTGTATCAACTTTACCAAGAACTTGTTTGTCAATAACCTCCTGTAAATTCTCCGAGCTTTCCACTAGTTGTGCAACATGCATCAAAACATCTTCAGGTAATCCTTCCTCTATTGGTTGTAGATCAGAAAGATCCAATGATGGTAATAATGGCCCAGCCAAACCTGGGCTAGCAGTTGAAGATATATTTGGTTGGATTTTCATTGGTGTTGTTGCTGTGTCTTGCAGAATTTGTGCTAGACTTGCATCATCTAACTGTGGGATAGCATCAAAACTCTTTCCAGGTTTATCTGTGGGAATCTTATTACTTTGCTTTAGGTATGTTTTTTGTACCACTGGAGATTTCAGCTTCTCTGAAATATCATTCTTAGAATCCATAACCTTCGCATCATGTATCTCAGGTGATTTTAAAGATAGGTTTATTTTTTTATTTGTAGGCACTGAATCTTTTTCAGGTTTAGACACAACTTTGGTATCCGTTGATACTCTTCTTATAACATCTGGAGTTGAGAACAAGGATGTCATGTCAGAGAGCAAAGCAGTCACATGTGCTGGAGTTTTCTTTTCCTTTTTAATAACTTTTTGTACTTGTTTCGGAACTACCTTGACCTGATCACTAAATGTTCCAGTGGTCACAGGTGATAGTAGACTTTCTTTATTTGGCGTCATTGCTGATTCTACTTCTTTCTTTTCAAACATAGCATTCTTTTGTTGAATCTTTTCTCTTATATCCCTTCGAACTATGCTCCTGTTAGCTTTAGGTTTCGGAGTTTTAACATCTGATTTAGTTTCTTTCAAAGACATAGAACTCTTTAAAATCCTTGGTTTTATTTTATTTTTCTTTAACTTCATGGACAATGATCTGTCCTTAGTATCTTTATAGTCAGAATCTGAGTCTCTGTCTGGTGCACTTTCACTTGATGAACTGATTGATGATGAATCCGTGTTTTCTTCATGTTTTTTCTCCACTTCTGCCTTTTTCTCAGCTTCAAGTTGCTTTGATTTAGTAAAGACGGGTAGAGGTTTATGTAAAAGGTCATTACCCTTCAATATAACAGATGCTTCTGCTGGGTTTATGATTATCTTTTTACCTTTAGGTATTATCTGTTGTTCCAAAATAGTGATCTTTTTATTACTTTGAATTGGTTTTTGTATAGGTGTGCGTGTTATTTCAATAACGGGATCCTCAAAACCAATAAATGCTTCATTTCCTTGTGGTAATACTTGGCTTGGTGATGTAAGCGATGTGTAGCAGTGGTCATTTTGAAATCCCACTAGACTATTTTCTCTTGTTTCTATCCTTAAAGACTGTAACATTTCAGCTCCGCTATCTGAAAATAAAATTTACAAAATCATAAACAACGTAACTAAAGTTATCTGTGAATAAAGCCTTTCACACTTTTGAAATGTAAAATTAATAATGTTTTAAAATTCAATCTAATTATTTAAATTATTTTTAATTTTTTATCTACAATATATTAATGTGTACAAAAATAAATACAACTTACCATACTTGATAATGCTGTTAGGTTCATCATAATAGCTATCGACAGATAGTGTAACATGTGGTATCTTATCATCATCATTTTCCGAATCAGTGGCATCATCAGGCCGGCCCTCATGGCCAACACGGACCACACTTATACCGGCACTTTGCGATCCATCAGTCCCTGGAATATTAGTATTAAATGTTAAATATATAAAAAATATACTAACTGTACTAGTTGTTTAATTATCAGGATAATGAACTGTCATTAGTAGCCTGGAAGAAATATTTCATTAGAAAATAATGAAAATTACCCATACAGTATAATGTAAATAATACTACATAATAGTTATTTCTATCAATTTTTATATACCACTGATTAAGGCATCTAAACGGGTAGGTAAATATTTACTATTCCGCAACTAAGTTGTTTACAAACAATAATAAATGTAACAACTAAAGAGTTCAAAATGAATTCATTTTAATATTTCCTCTAATTGTCATTAGCTAAAAGTAAAACGAGCATTTTTATATAACTACTTAATAGATTATTAAATATAAACATAAATTATTATAAACTTATCAGCATCATTAATTTCCTGAGGAATATTATAATTTTCCTGTAGACAGATTTTTAGTAGCATTGGCAATCTTTATGTTCAGTAAACAATTTAAATATGTATAGAAATTAACCGTTTTATACAAATCAAAAAGAGAAAAAGAACTTACCCATGAGAGTACCCAATAAGTTTTGATCCACAGACAGAGATCCATCCTTGTTGACAATAACAACAACTGAACTATCAGATTTAGATGAAGGTCCATTGAGATCTGTATAGTTAGTTATTACGGTATTGGCCATTTTTCTTAAGAATTTATGCCACAATATATTTCAAACTCCTCTATTTTTAGCCACTTAGAACACAAGCACCGCGTCTAACTATAAACACGCTGGACGCCATTTTGAAATCCAACAAGCTGCAAAAAGGCGCCGATTGTAGTCCTCTCTAATACCCTCAATACAAGTTGGTTTAGATTATTTCAAAAACGATAAATAAAATTAAATAAGAGAATATGATAAGGATTGGATCATTAATAACTTGTTTTAAATATTTAAAACGCGAATAAAACAAAACACATAACACCGACGTTCAACGTTGACGTGAATAACACGAAGTTGCCAGTTTCTTCAGGTTAAGACCCTTTGTTCTTTGCTCTCTGGCTTTAACAAATATATCGATTCGTTTTAAATTAATAAATGCTTTTTTAATGATTAACTTTGTTTTTCATTAGTATCAAAAACGTAAGCAGAATATGCAGCGTAGTTTACTAATTCTCAAATATAAGCTCATAAGTTTTAAATGAGCAGAGAGCATAGACAAAAGTGACAAATGAGCTACTTTAATGAGATGCGTGAAATGAAATGCCTTTCCTTAGAGATCTGTCATTTTCCGGACACGAGTATCTTGGTTATTTTATGTAGTGTTACGATAATATTTACTAAAAATGAGTTATTCAAAATTTGATCTTACGTTTAAAATAGGTCAATATTTAGACCGACATCTCGTGTTTCCACTTTTGGAATTCTTAGCCGCTAAAGAGGTAATATTTATTTTCCACTTGCTGACGCTTACTATGCTTGAAACGCTTTCATATATTTCTATAAACTACTATTATAAATTGAGATAATTCTTGTTATTTGTTTCTACTTTTAATTGCAGACTTATGATCAGTCGGAACTACTGCAAGCAAAGTTGGAGATACTTAGTAAAACCAACATGATTGACTATGTTATAGACATTCGCAAATCCCTTTATCCCTCGGAAGGTATTCCAGAGGTAAGATGAACTGCACTGTAATTTTTCAATTTTAATAATTATAATAACTATAAACATGTTTTATATTATAAAAATTAATGAACATGAAATCTAAAATTGGATGGCCCACTATCTGATAGTACAGTAACAGTTTCTCTTTAACTTTTAGGAAATAAAGGCCCGCCGAGGAGTTGTTCTGTCACAACTACAAGAGCTGCAGGATGCAGTGGAACCTGTTCTTCGTCTCATGCAGAGAGATGATGTTATGAAAACTGTTGAAACTATGAGAGATCCTAAAACTCTTATCAACTATTTAACAACTAACAGGGAATTTGAGGTGATATAGAAATTATTATTTCTTCTATTTTTATATAAATACTAATTTTTGCCCATGACTTCGTTCGGAATGAAAAAAACATAATTGTGTTCTGACAGACCATGTTCTATATGTATGCCAAATTTCATCAAGATCCATTCAGCCATTCTGGTTATACCTTCAAACAAAAATCCATCCAAACATTCACATTTATAATATTAGTAAGACATATGTAAAAATTAATAACTTAATTGCTATTTTTATGTGTTTTAGTTCAAAATTGAGATGATTGATAGCATGTATCAATTAGCTAAATATCGGTATGAGTGTGGTAATTATGAAGAGTCAGCATCATACCTTTATTTTTGTCAGCTTGTCATGTCACCTACTGATAAGGTAAGAATATTATCTTAATTATAACTTTAGATAGAATTTTCATTCAATTACTTTAAAATGTTTCTGCTTAAAATTATTTATAAAAGTAGCAAAATAAATATGTTGCATCTAAGAATACCAAATTGTTGTTATGGGATACAGCAAACTGGTTAATTATCATTTCATATCATTCAGTACATATACTGGCAAAATTGGTTAAATTAAAAATTGTTATGAAGATCACTTTTCTATTTGTTTTGTTTAAAGAAATAAAATTTATGTTTAAAGCAACATAATATATTTAAGTAGTGAAGGATTCAGATTTACACAAAATTCTAGAATCATAATGAGGGTGAAAGTTATTTCTATGTCCTTGCAGAAGTAGTATTGATTGAAACCACTCTCCACATATTTCACACTGGTAAACTAACAATGGAGACTTGCCATTGCATTCTGTTTTCAATTTAGCCATAAAATGACTTACTTTGTACCTAAAAAAATAATAAGCAATTTTATAGAGATTCTCAAAATCTAAATACAGTTATTCTTAAATTTAAATACCTGTGATTATAGAGTTGTTCGTAGTTTCTGAATTTACGATCACAAGCATTACATAACAGTAATTTTGGCAATGAGAATTTGTAACACATATTCAACCACGGACAGAAGATCCAATGTTGTTCTGCATTTTTGTATGACTGAAAACTCATGTTGCAAGCGTTACATTCATAATTACTTGAAATTGTATGCTGTTTTGAGTGCTTCAGTAGTCTGGGAATACTTGTAAAAACTTTTTCACAAAATTCACACTGTAAAAGTGATGATGTTTTTATTTCTCGTACACAGTCTGTGTTTTCTTCTTTACCACATTGTCCTGAATGATTCAAAGCTAATTCTCGACAGGGCCAAACCTGGAAGCACTCGGTGCATGTCCACACAACTTGCCATTGTTGTTGGCATTCTGGCATAACATGTCTCATTGCATAATGTTTTTTCAATCCAGTTACGTAAACAAAATCTTTTCCACATACATTACAAGGATGTGTGTTCATAGTTTTTGAAAATGGCCAAACAACATTAAAAGTTTCCTTCTTTTTTGTATAATCTAATGTTCTATTTAACATATGGATATTTTTCATAATTTGTGCATTAGTTTCTTTTACTTTTTCAAGGCTATATTCAAGTGGATTAATATTCTCATCAATTGAATTGTTTTCTAATGGGGTATTTTTAAATAAATCAGCACTATTTGGTGTATCTCTATCCTTATTCACGTTAGAGTCGTTGAGCAGAGATATTTTCATTATTTGAGGCCTATCTTTACTAAACGAGTTTTTCATAGGCTCTTTCCAATCTGGTTGATAGTTCGAATATGGACTAGAATTGTTGGATATCTCTTTGCAACATGAATCTAAATCTATATATTTCATTTCATCACCTGATACCGCCTTGATAATTAAACGAGAATTTTCTGGACTCTTCTTTTTCTGTTCTGTAATCCCATCCAACCATTCACTGAATGTTGTTTCAGTAAAATCATTATTGATTGTTACAAATAACGATTTAAAATCAAACCCCTCCTCAAATTTATGCACTATTAACTTTGCTGACATTTTCACAAATGTCTATTTGACATTTTTATATCTTAAAAAATTAGTCATCAAAGGAAAAAATCAATTAAAGACATATGATTTAAAAAAGGTTGAATTGCACTACCTCTTGCGAAATGTTAGGTAACAAAAATTAATTATGGTTTATGGATAAAGGATGATACACAAATTTTAAAAGAATTTAATATTTCGTGAAAGTTGAGCTATGACTTTTTTTACTGCTCCATACAGTTAAAATTACATATTTACTAATCCAATATTGTACTTTTTGCAGAACTATCTTTCCGTACTTTGGGGTAAACTGGCGAGTGAGATTTTGGTACAAAACTGGGACGGAGCACTCGACGACTTGACTAAGTTACGCGAGTTTATAGACAACGGTGGCGGCGGAGCGACCGCAAGCAACATGCAGGCGCTACAACAACGTACTTGGCTGGTCCACTGGTCACTGTTTGTCTTCTTCAACCATGTGAAGGGCAGAGACCTGATCATTGAGATGTTCTTGTACAAACCATTGTAAGTTGACAACTACTTTCTACAATCAAAGCTTAAATAAATATTTATAAACAAACAAAAAATATCCTGTCAGTTAAACTAGCTACTGCTACTTCATTTGGTTTCACATTTACTATAAATGTTGTCTTCCATTGTTTCAGGTATTTAAATGCAATTCAAACGATGTGTCCCCACATATTGCGTTACTTGGCCACTGCTGTTATTATTAATAGATCAAGGCGCAATGCTCTGAAAGACCTTGTGAAAGTAATTCAACAGGAAGCTTATACATACAGGTATAGCATAATTAGATAACTGAGCAGCAAAGTAATCAGTAGCATTACTATGGATCTGATTTACTCCAATTAACATAATAAAAATTGTTGTGTTTGATATGATTAATTAACTTTCTTAATTATTATTACAGGGATCCAATCACAGAGTTCATTGAACATTTGTATGTTAACTTTGATTTCGAAGCAGCGCGCAGGAAGTTGAATCAATGTCAAGCTGTTCTGCTCACCGACTTCTTTTTGATTGCCTGCTTAGAGGAGTTTGTTGAAAATGCGCGCCTGATGATCTTTGAGACATTCTGCAGAATACATCAAGTCATCAGTATTGGGTACAGACACTTTTCAGTTTTATGGTCAAAATGAGGAAAGTTTTTAAAACATAAAGAAACAATCATACTTAATCGGAAATTTAGCATAGATGTAAAAGTAGTCATAGTCAAGAAGAAGCATAAGCTAATAAGTTTTTTCAATTCCATGGACTGATTCGCGAGCGACAGCTAGTACTAATATAATCAAAATATTAAGCACATATAAATCACTCTTTCTTAACTCTTATTTAGTATATGTTGAACCTTATTTGTTGGTTAATGTGTTTCCATCTTTGCAGAATGTTGGCAGAGAACCTGAATATGCAACCAGATGAAGCTGAATGCTGGATTGTTAACTTGATTCGTAACGCAAGACTGGATGCTAAGATTGATTCCAAGTTAGGTCATGTTGTTATGGGTGCACAACCCCTTTCTCCATACCAGCAGTTAGTGGAGAGAATTGATTCATTGGCTGTAAGGTCGGAAGCTCTTACTTCTATAGTAGAAAGGAAGCATAAAGCCCGCAATCAAGATGTAAGTTGTAATATAAATTTACTTTTAATCTTTACACAATCGATGCCAACATTATTTTTTTATTAAAGTTAACTCACAAGATAATAGCAGTGAATGTGATAATCTATTAGATTGTGTAAACCGCCAATACATAATTCAATAGTTATATTGTACTGCCCTTGAATGTAAAAACAAAGTTGATAATGGTAAATTTTATTTTTAATTTCAGATCCGTTGGGGCGCACAAGAATTCTAGCATTCGGACAGAACTATAATTGCTGGTGTAAATTAATATCTTTCTAAATAAAACATTATATACAATGTGTATTTGTTTGATTTAATAAATAAAAGAAAGAAATCTTCACTTATACATTCTAATTTAATTACTTAAAAGCTACTCTACAGGTTTAATAGTGATAAATCTTGACAAAATAAAAGCAACCAGTATTGTTGATAAAACAAAAAATACCACAAATATGTAAAATGTATCTTCTGAAAAAACATCAGTAAATGCTGGTATTTGATTGTACAATTCTTCTACAACATGCAGGTTGCCTTTGTTAGAGCGTACCATGTTGCTTACTTCTTTTTTGTTTTCTTTTTCTCAGATTTAGTTTGCACAACTGAAGATACTTGTTCAACTGGTGCAAGTGAGGAGATGTGCTTATTTAATAATTGTAAAATTTCTAAGCATGTAAGGTTACCACTTTTTATTACTACGTTTTTCACTTTAGCTGTTTCTAAAAATAAAAAGAAGTTTATTATGTATACAAAGGCACATAAAATTATAGTAAATAAATAGGCTTTATGTGAAAAATACAAATTTACCTGTTATTAAAGGAGCAATTGATATATTAATTGTTGGTTCACTACGATCACACACTACCTCAGTTTTAAGAGAACAATTTGGATTTGTAACAGCAATTTTTGGAGAGCTTATAAGATGAAGAAAATTCCTGAAAAGTAAAACTTGTTAATGAAAGTAATAAAAATGATATGGTATACACTTCATAAAAAGCATTTCTTACTATTTTTTATTGTAGATAGCTGATTAAAGAAAAAACTATTGTACAGTGACACTTCTACGTCATAAAATCAATAATACATTTAATGTTAGTACCAGATAATAATAAAGATATTCCACACTTAAAAGATGAGAAGAGAGAGTTCTATACTTCTTTAACGTAGTAGCAAACAAAATGATAAGTAAATTGAGTCGAAACTGGACTAGAGGGTAAAATATAGGAATGGGAATGTCGTGACGTATGATTTGACAATATACATCAGGAGTTACAGGTTATAAGGGTTAATTTTACCTTGTATGACCAACATTATCACTAAAGGGATCAAATTTGACGGTGATTCTTTTAGCTGCCTTAAGATTTACACCCCTGAGTTGTTTCGCAATTGCTGATACTACACCCCCTGATCTTCGTACAGTTCCACTGTAAGGGATAGACATATTTTCTTTTTCTCCCAGAAAATTGAGGGATGCAAAAATAGTTAACCGTAGACAACCATCGTCCAAAAATGTTCTTCATTTCACAGAGTAAATAGAACCATTTTCCTTTATTATTTCAGTATCTTGGATCGTGTGCTATGATTTTTTGAGTGATAGATTACATATACACTTGTTACTTAGCTCTCGTGCTCTTTATCCAAGCTTTGTATAGTAAGCCAAAACAGTTAATTTAATAGTTAACGTATGTTTTAATGAGTATTTTGTCCCGTTAACCAAAGAGCAGATATAATGCTTGAAACAATTTAGTTTATTATCTGTTGTAAATGTATGTCAAAAACCATCAACAAACGTCAAGGTGCAACATAAAATTGCAGTTCAAGCCACATCTTTTAGAGCACATTGCTATAATTTCAATAAGAAAACCTATTTAATATTTAAGTTTCAAAATCTTGTATATATAAGTATATGCCAAAATGTACCCCGTTGGCCAACGTAAGTTTTGTGTTTTATAATGTCATCATTGAGTATTGGGAAGACATAATAATCCTTTGTTTGATTGCCCTTAATAATGTCGTTTGTAGTAGAAAGTATAGGATAGGCAAAATTTTAAGTGACTATTAGAAATAAATTGAAAGCAAAGTAAAGTATGTTATACGGTTATTGTAGCTCCAACGGGGGAGACGAGTGCTGGTGCAGTAGGCGTGACTGGTGCTGTGACTGCGGCGGCGGGTGCTACGGCTGCAGCTCCTGGGGCTCCGAGCACTGCGCCCGCAACTGGGGCTCCGCCTCCAGTCGCGGGAGGGGCGGGGGCGATGGCGCTCGTACCTCCAGCTGCAGCACCTCCTCCCGATTTACCAGTACTAACATGTCCACGCCGTCCTAACCTCGGTCATGAAGGTCGACCGATTATGCTAAGAGCAAATCATTTTCAAATATCAATGCCTAGAGGTTTTGTGCACCATTATGATGTTAATATACAGCCAGATAAGTGTCCTAGAAAGGTGAGTTTCATCATCCATGTTTGTTTGACCTAAAAAATGTGTATGTATTATGGTTTATATAAATAGTGTAAAAATTTCTGTTTTTCAGGTTAATAGGGAAATTGTTGAAACTATGGTTCACTGTTACAATAAAATATTTGGTACATTGAAGCCAGTCTTTGACGGGAGAAACAATTTATATACAAGGGATCCATTACCAATTGGCAATGATAGGGTTGAATTAGAAGTTATATTACCTGGAGAGGGAAAGGATAGAGTTTTTCGTGTCACCATTAAATGGGTTGCCCAGGTAGGAGTCCCTAAAATCATAGAATAATAATATTGAATTTGAATTAATAATAAGAATATTTTTCATATTGAAGTTAATTTGTTAATGGTAATTTATTAAGATTTTCATCAAGTTTACCTTTTTCTAAAACATGGATCTTTAAAGGTATCACTATTTGCATTGGAAGAAGCTCTGGAGGGTCGCACAAGACAAATTCCATATGATGCTATATTAGCATTGGATGTAGTGATGAGACATTTACCTTCCATGATGTATACACCTGTTGGACGCTCATTCTTTTCATCTCCTGAGGGATATTATCATCCTCTTGGTGGTGGCAGAGAGGTCTGGTTTGGATTCCATCAGTCTGTGAGACCAAGTCAATGGAAAATGATGCTAAATATTGATGGTTTGTTTATATTATATTTGATTTAGTTAGTTGAACATTTCTGTTTAAATAAATATGAATCATTGTATTTTTCTTAATTTTTTTTAACAGTGTCTGCAACTGCCTTTTACAAAGCTCAACCAGTGATAGAGTTTATGTGTGAAGTATTAGATATAAGGGACATAAATGACCAAAGAAAGCCTCTGACAGATTCTCAACGTGTTAAGTTTACAAAAGAAATCAAAGGACTCAAGATTGAGATCACTCATTGTGGTACAATGAAACGTAAATATAGAGTGTGTAATGTGACACGTAGACCTGCACAAATGCAATCGTAAGTATCATGCTAAATAAAATTTTCCTTTCAAGTGCTTAAAATTTAAAAATAATGTTTTTAATTTCGTTTAATAGTTTCCCGCTGCAATTAGATAATGGACAAACAGTTGAATGTACAGTAGCCAAATATTTCTTGGATAAATATAAGATGAAACTTCGTTATCCCCACCTGCCGTGTCTTCAAGTGGGCCAGGAGCATAAGCACACATATTTGCCGTTGGAAGTATGCAACATAGTACCAGGTCAGCGATGCATTAAAAAGCTAACTGATATGCAGACTTCTACTATGATAAAAGCAACTGCTAGATCTGCTCCTGATAGGTAAGTAAAATTTTTTATAATAAAATACAGGTTTACTAATGAAAGAAAATTATGTAGCTGTAATATGCTAAAGAGATGATCAAGTAACTCAAGGTTTTTGCAATAATTTGCATAAGTAATAGGTTAAAGTAATCTATAACTTCATAATACTTTACATAGAAAAATTGGTTAGAACCATAATAGGAATATATCATCATCATCAGCTCGGAGCCTACCCTATGGTAAGGGTGATTAGGCCATAGTCAACCACGCTGGCCAAGAGCAGGCTGGTTGACTTCACACATATCTTTGAATTTTTTCTCAGATATGTGCAGGTTGCATCACGTAAGAACGTCGGATAAATATGCATATGTAAATCGGATATCGAAAAACACATTGGTACATGGCGGGATTCGAACGCAGGACCTGCAGATTGCAAGTCAAGTGCTTTTACCCCTTAGCCACCAATGCTCTATATAGCGATAAATTATTTGATAAAATTATGTAATTAAACAAGGAAGAAAAATCTCAATTTATGTTTTCCTCATGTTTATTACAATCATATTATTTAGTAATTCAAGAAATAATTACTTTATTATTTCGGAATTATTAATTAGGCTTATATGGAAATATATTATTTATTAGTCATAGACTTGACATTGATATTTTTTGGTACTTTTCTATATATATTCGAAACACTTTATTCTCATTTTAGTGAGATTTCAATAGTTTAGTATTTCCAAGATTTGTAACTTTATGTATGCTAATAAAATTATATTTACTAGGCATTGATAAAATAGTTGACTTATATGTAATATAACTTTCAGTTACATACTGATATTCTTTATTTGAAATGTTAATACTTTGCTAATATTTCTTTTTATACATAATTGTCTAATTTTAAATTAAATGCATTAATAGCCAACCCATCACCCCTAACATAGGGTAGACGTTGAGCCTCTCAGTGGGGAAGTATAGTCATTAGATGACAATGAAGCATGAAGTTCCATTGCTAAAACTTACATTATTTTTGTTGAAATTGTTGTACAACTGTGGCAATGGAATCCCACTGTTATAAATCTCTATTCTATTTAGGGAGCGAGAAATCAACAACTTAGTTCGTCGCGCGAACTTCAACACTGACCTTTATGTAAAGGAGTTTGGATTAACAATATCCAATAACATGATGGAAGTGCGCGGCCGTGTTCTGCCACCGCCGAAGCTGCAATATGGCGGACGTGTATCTTCATTGGGTGGGCAGGTATGTTAAATCTATCCGTCTGGGAACCAACTGAAAATTCGACTATTATCGTGATCCATATTCTAGAACAAGTCTAAAGCTTTTTTTTGTAATAAATCAAAGAAATATGAAAAAAAATTGTGGCCACCTAATTTTTTTCTTAATAAAATGTGATAAATAATCATATCTGGAATTCATTTAAGGTCAAATAAAATTAGCTACAAAGCAAGTATTATGTGTTATGAAGGCTTTTAAATGCTGATACAAATATCTCCATAGTTTTAATATTTCTACAACATTGTTGAATCTGAGCCTAACGATTCTTAGTTGTTTTATGTAATTTGATCATGTATCATAACAATTGTTTATGTTTTAAATATATTAGCTTTGTCATGGAAATTTAAAATTGTTTTCCATAGTTATTATTTCTTTCTCTATTTATAATAATTTATCTCTTCCTCCCTTTTCAATATTTATGTGCATGAAAAACAATTTATCATTATATATTTCGTATTTTTATTACTATTATGTTTACAGCAAGCGTTACCTAACCAAGGTGTGTGGGACATGCGCGGCAAACAGTTCTTTATGGGAGTTGAAATTCGAGTTTGGGCGATTGCCTGCTTTGCACCTCAAAGGACTGTTCGGGAAGATGCTCTCAAGTATGTGTCTTAAAAATACTTTTTTTTAAAACATAAATCATGAAGTTAATGCTTATATTTAATTTTAAGCCAAGGTCTAAAGTTAGAATAAGGAATTTAATAACATTTATTCAAAAATCTGGAAAATTGTGCGATATGAGGTAATATATGTATGATAAGGTTAGCTAATTTGGTATAGTCATGTGAAAAAAGTATTTTATCAGAAATATTTTATGAATATACGATTGTTTGCAAAAAATCTGCAATACGAATTCAATTGGCACGAAATGTGTTTTTCTTTTTTTAGAAACTTCACTCAGCAGCTACAAAAGATTTCGAATGATGCGGGTATGCCCATCATTGGGCAGCCTTGCTTTTGCAAGTATGCGACGGGGCCGGATCAAGTGGAGCCAATGTTCAAATACCTCAAGTCCACATTTGTGCAGCTGCAGTTAGTTGTGGTTGTGTTGCCAGGGAAGACACCAGTTTATGGTTAGTTAACACACAGGCATATTCCATAAAGAAATTGTCATAGTAGACATACAACAGAAATTGCCTAGTTTTGTAATTCGTCTAACGAATCTGAAAACATCAGGACACTTTCCTCTTTTAATTCTTATATTGCCGGAGAAAATATCACTAGGTGTTCCACCTTTTCTTGTATATACTGCTCTTAAAATGCCACAGCATAACAGTTTTAACTCAGTCTTGTCGAAGACCTAAAAATTTTTAAAATCATTTTTATCTGGTCATATATACTTACACAAGTTGTATTTTTTTCTTTCTGGTAATAATAAAATATATGTTGTTTAGCTGAAGTAAAACGTGTTGGTGACACTGTGCTCGGCATGGCGACGCAATGCGTGCAAGCTAAGAACGTGAACAAAACCTCTCCGCAGACGCTCAGCAACCTCTGCTTGAAGAT